GAATGATATAGCACATCATGTTTTTGGTGTAAATATTAAAGCATTTCATAGGTAATTTCATGGAGCCAAGCTATGGTTAGCTAGGAGAAAAGGATTTGAACATTAATTACTACTGAATGTGCAATTCAAGAGCCACTTCTATATTGTGACAATTAGGAATGAACATTGAAAACAACAGTGTCAAAATATGATGTTTGAAGACCAAAGTATTCTTTCAAAGACACTGAAATGTTACTGCATTAACAGTGTCATTTTAAACAACACAGCTAGGGCTAAGGTTACGGATAGGAAAATTAGTGTTAGTTTGGTAAAGAGTTAGGGGTGTGTAGAAGGCGGGTTTGGGTTGCGTACTCTCATGATTCTCATCCAGGCAACAAGTAATACGACTGGCAGTCCACAGACTTGTGGAGGGTAGGTACCACCTTTCCCTTGGAACTCTTTAACGCACAACTTAAAAAACCTTGTAACTCTAACTCTGCCCAACTCCAATCCTATTATATGGGGTACATTAGTCTACGTGACATCTTTACATCATCGGTAACATCCGTGCACACTACAAGGTAAGGATGCTGGTTATTATAAATAGTGCTATAAAGGTGAGTCTAAAGCTTTCAATGGCGTGAATGGATAATGTGCAAACAAATCTTCCACATTACCTGGGCAGCTGCAGTGTGACCAGCAACACTTCTAGTCAAACCACCAAAATGTTTTTTTTTGCAGAAAAGGGGGTTTCACCCAATGACTCATAGCACCGTAAGTACTACATTGAGCTATAGTGGATATGGTTTATATTACTCCTTTAAAGGTGAGCTGGCACTTCTCTGGATGTTACTCAATTGAATAAAACATTTAAATTGCCTATAACCTATTAATACCTTTTCAAGAGATCCTTTGTTTTCTTTTAAATGTAGATTCAAGAGTTAGCAAATGGCATTATAAACCAGTTTAGACAAGGCAAAGCCATGGCAAACATTGAAAATGAAGAGAAACTGGAACATTGTTTAATTTCTCTTTCTTCTCTGTATGCTTTCTGTATGTTAATTGCCAGGTCCAAAGGACAGAGCTTATAACAATCATTGACAGTAGACATATGCACAAGGAATTTTTTTCTTACTTATTTTGTTTCAGTAATTCTGAATTTAGTAAATTATGAATTCAGAATGAACTACATTTCGCCAAAAATGTGTTATTCCCTATAGGGTGCTGTTTAGTAGACTGCTCTACTTAGGATCCCAAATTAGGGCGCTACATTGCACACATGGACAAATGACAGTGCATATGAAAGTGTGTGTTTATGGACAAATAACTGTCCATGCTTGTGTAAAATGACGCATATATGGACAAATAACAGTGTTAAGGCATTGGGTTAATGACAGTGTTTATGCATGTTCATGTATGGGCAAACAACAGTGTAAACACATAGGTTAATGAGAGTGTGCATGCATGTGTAAATAATGTTGTATATGACTGTGCATGTATAGGTATATAACAGTGTGAATGCATGCAGTGTGTGTTACTGTGCATATTTTGGTAAATGACTATGTGACTGTGTGGGTTAATGAATGTGTGCACAAATAAAGAGCGCCATAATCCGGTATTTGTAAGTAGTGCAATTTCACATACAGGTATCAAATTAGGGGAGCTATCTATTGAACAGCACCCTAATTTGGTATCCTAAATATGGTAATCCCGCCTGTTTTAAAGAAATAAATCATGGCACTAGAAAAAGTCCAGAGACGAGCTCCAAAATTGATAAAAGGAATGGAGCATTTTAGTTATGAAGAAAGGTTAAAAAAAATTAAATCTGTTTAGTTTGGAAAACAGGGCCTGAGAGGGGATATGATAACTTTATACAAATATATCCGGGGCCAGTACAAACCTTCACACATTTAGGCTGGAAGAAAGGAGATTTCATCTAAGGCAAAGAAAAGGTTTTTTAACAGTAAGAGCAATAAGGATATGGAATTCTCTGCCTGAAGAGGTGGTTTTGTCAGAGTCATTACAGATGTTTAACCCCTTAAGGACGGAGCCAAATGTACACGTTGTGAACAAAACAAAATGTAAACAAAACCTGGCATTTGCGCTACATGTCTGTCCAACCGTAATACACCTCTTTCATAGTAAATGCACCCATCCTTATTATATATCATTTTATTCAGGGGTAACAGGGCTTTCATTTAATATCAAATATTTAGCTATGAAACATAATTTAATATGAAAAAAATGGGAGAAAATACGATCTTTTTTGATTTTTTTAGTTCTACATGACATTTTAACGGTCAGTGTCATAATACTGTTTGCTTTTACTGCAATAAAATACACATATTTGTATTCAGTAAAGTCTCACGTGTAAGACAGTACCCCCTATGTACAGGTTTTATAGCATTTTGTGAAGTTACAGGGTCAAATATAGCACGTTACATTTGAAATTGAAATTCGCCAGATTGGTTACGTTGCCTTTGAGACTGTATAGTAGCCCGGGAATGAAATTTACACCCTATGATGGCATACCATTTGCAATAGAAGACAACCCAAGGTATTGCAAACAGGGTATGTCCAGTCTTTTTTAGTAGCCACTTAGTCACAAACACTGGCTAAAATTGGCGTTTTTTGCATTTTTCACACACAAACAAATACTAACGCTAACTTTGGCCAGTGTTTGTGACCAAATGGCTACTAAAAAAGACTGGGCATACCCCATTTGCAATACCTTGGGTTGTCTACTATTGCAAATGGGGTATGCCCAGTCTTTAATAACCGACTGTCTAAGCTGCCAACCAAGTGCGTTAGCTATTGTTGTGTCTATTAACATCACTTTATAATTTTAACCAGTATTTAACGACAATAACTGAACGCTCTGTTACAACCATAGATTATCGCCTCTATTATTAACTCTCAGCCCATTCTTAGCAGGCTACCATAGGTCTCAAAACAATGTAACCAATGGGCAAATTTTAATGCCAAGAAAAAATGAAAGCATAAACCTTATATTTAGCCTTTGTAACTTTATTTCTCCCATAAAACCTGTACATGAGAACGGCACTCGGGAAGACTTCTTTGAACACAAATATTTTGTGTTTCAAAACAGTAAAAAGTATCACAGCAATAATATTGTCAGGTGTAATACTTTGTTTTGATAGCGTGAAAAATGCAAAAAATTCACTTTTGGCGAGTATCATTTGTTGTAGCCATTTTACTGTTTTGAAACACTAATATTTGTGTTCAGCGAAGTCTCCCGAGTAGAACAGTACCCCCCATGTACAGGTTTTATGGTGTCTCAGAAAGTTATAGGGTTAAATATAGTGCTAGCAAATTAAATTCCCTTTACTTTCGGCATGGGTTGTCATGCAGGTCCTGCTAATTGTATTAATTAAGATACCTAATTATGTAAAAATATTACATAAATATATATGTAGAATCAATATATGTATATATATACGTATGTGTATATATATGTATATATCTATATAATTTTTTTAAAATATTTTTATTTATATATAGGTATATATAAAGTGATATATACGTATATATTTATGTGTATAAATATATATATTATTTCGTTCTATGTGTATTTTGATATATATATATATATATTAATTTCACAATACAGTTAGAGCGAAATAACACACATCTATATATTTTTTAATTATTTATTTTTAATTATTTTTTTAATTTTATTTTTTAACGTATTTACATTTTTATTTTTTTATATTATATATAAATATATATATAACAATTATATATATATTTAATCAGTATCAGTCTACGTGTAATTTGATATTAATATATATATATATATATAATTATATATATATTAATAGTAAAATACACCTAGACGGTGTACATGTGTGTATGTATATGTGTATATATATACTTAGATCATATATATATAATATATATATATGATCTAAGTATATATTCTTTTTTTTTTTACACCATTTATTTGTTTTAATTTTATTTTCAGCCAGCAGGGGGACCACCTGTCATTACAGGTGTTGTAGAATTATTAGGCCTCTATAAATCTGTAAGGCCCCTTTAAATCCTCTTGCTATACCTCTAAGAGGCCCCCATAGTTTTACAAGAAAGCTTTGTCTATAGAACATAGAATTTGCATGTCAGCAAGAAATAGCTTGATAAAATGTGTATTTACTAAAAGCCTTGAAACCTAACCTTGAGAAACTAACAAGTGCCAGCTACGCTCTAAATGGATAGCTGCCAAAAGGCCCCTCCCGTCGAGTGAGCTCCTCATGTTAGCAAAATGGCGCTAAAACCTGGAGGAGATAATCATGACGAGGATAGTGACTTAAGATGGTACACCCCATAGGGAGGGCATTTTACTAACATCTTAGCACCTAAGCCAATTAACAATGTCTATTTGTCTATATCTTGATTTTCTTCAATGATGTAATAATGCCTTTAAAAGGGTCTGCGCACCCATTTTCTGTCAGAAGCCATTAAACTTCTCCGAAGTTCTTTCATTAACCTGAACTTTGTGTCTCAGTGTGAATTTACTTCTGCGTGCACGCAACTTTATTATCATTTATTTGGACAGGAACAGATAGTCATTCAAACTAATTGGTTTGCAGTAAATTAGCTACAACACAGGCAGCCCCCCTGCTGGCAATACAGAAGCCAGCTATCCCCGGCCATGTGATTGTGGGGTCCTCGCAAAGACCCCACTCTCACATGGCCGGGGGGGCTTCGTGGAGGACGGAAGTGCCGCGGGGGACTCCCTGGGAGCCGGCGACCGGGTAAGTACCGAAAGACCGGAGGGCGTACTATTACGCCCGGCGGCGTTTAGAGCCGCCTATAATAGGGCGTAATAGTACGCCCTCCGGTCTGAAGGGGTTAAACTGCATTTGGATAAATATTTACAAAAACATAACATACAGGGATATAATTTCTAATTAGTGGGGTAATAGCTGCTTGATCCAAGGAGACATCTGACTGCTATTTTGGGTAAAGAAGGATTTTTTTCCTAGTTTGTGGCAAAATTGGAAGCACTTCAGACTAGGTTTTTTGCCTTCTTTTGGATCAACAGCAAAAACATATGAGAGGAAGGCTGAACTTAATGGACGCAAGTCTCTTTTCAGCTATGTAACTATGTGATAAAGGCACTAAAGTAGGGAGCTATCTACTAAACAGCACCCTAAGTTGGTATCCTTAAATAGGCAACCCTACACACTCCAATGCTCAAATTAAAAATACATATATATATATTTAAACACAATTTAGTAGATATACCTCCAATGAAAACTTGCATGCATTTAATTATATATTTTTAAAAAGCTTGCAAAGCTGCAGATCTCTTGTCTGCAGGCTTTGCAAGCACTCCTGTCTTTCCCAGCCCAGACTTTCTGTGGCTGTCCAATCACAGACTTCCCAATGCAGCTCCATGAGAAGTCTTTTCAAGGCAGGTGCTCTGAGCAATTGCTGCCTCTTCAGTTTAGCTCCACTGACTGAGCTAACCAAACCAGGAAGTAACAGGATGTCTGAATGACAGCTGGCAGGGGGAGTTAATATGTAAAAGCCAAATTAAGGAGGGCACACTTCATGCATTAAGCACGTCAGCAAGCTAAATTACTTTAGGTGTGTGGAGTGATCCTTTAGTGTTAAATGTATACCTGACCCTATAGTATTAAAACTACCATTTAGGTGGCTTGCCCCCCTTAGAAAGGGTTAAAACCTACCTTATTTCAAGCTCTCCACAAGTGTTCAGGTGCTGACCCCGTCCCCAATCCCTCTCTTTGGCTGACATAATCAGAATTGATTATTATTTTACCCAATCTAGTGCTCTCCCACATTGGAAAGCATTGGATTGGCTGAGATCATTAGGAGTAGTGGTCATTTAGTATTTCCTCATATAGATGCATTGAATCAATGCATCTCTATGAGAAAAGTTCAGCATCTCAATACAGAGTGGATGTGC